TCCACAGGCAGGCATGCAAGGAAGAGGAGCATGAGGTGGCATTGAGCAGATGCACTAAAACAAGAGCAGGTTTTCCCTTCCTCTAACAAAATCTGGAGTAAATCAGCTGTGGAGATGAGGAAGAGCCTGGAATTTGGGCTGTGGGTATCCCAGACTGTGGATTCACACGCTGCTCAAATCAGTTTGCACAGCAGATGTCTGAGCCTGCTTTGGCTGGATTCACAATCCATTTGAGTTCAAAACTGTCACCTTGGCTGGGATGCTCCGGTGTCACCACGCAGGAAGGTGATGCCTGTGGCTGGAAATGGAGCTTTTGCAGTTCATGGCTGCTGAGTGAATTACTAAAATCCAGATAACTTGCCTTAGAAAAACATGTCTGTGTCGACAGAGATAAATTGGATCTTGATGATGACAAAACTAGACTTAAATAGAAAAGAATGAGGGGGGAAAAAAAAACAAGTGGTGGGGTTTTGGTTTTTTTTTTTGGACCACAGTTGTGGACTGGAGGGATTTGAGGGATTTCAACAGTGGATGTTTTCCTCTGGGGATGTTTCTGCTGCAATAGAAATTATTTTTGCAACCCAGAGGCAGGTTTAGATGAGCATGGGTTGGACCTGGCTGGGAAAGAAAGGGTCCTGGTGGCTCCAGCTTTGGCAAATGCTCTGCCCTGCTGAGGTTGGTGTGGACATCTTCTAGATGAACCATGAAGGCTGCTGGGCTGCAATGCTCTTCCCAGGTATGGCTTGTTGCTTCCCTGAGGATGCTCCAGGTGAAATGACTCCTGTAAGGTTGTAAAAACCCCCAGAGATGTGGTGCTGCAGCAGATTTGTGTGTGTGTGTGTGTTCATGGAAGCATCCCAGGGCTGGAAGTAGTAGAGCTGCAAGACTTTAGAGAAGGATTCTGTGCTGGAAGGGGATGTGTGTGCTGGCAGGTCCTCAGGAAGCTGGGAGAGATGTGTACATCCATTTTTATTCCCCCCCATCAAATATTGATTTTTCAGGAGTGCAGTGCTGCTTTGATTTCACTGCACCAGCGACTGGGATCTGAAACAAACAGCAGCTGCTCATGGCCAAAAATTATGGGGGGACCTGGCAAAGCCTTTGCTGTGGGGTTTTGTGGGGTGCTCGAGGTTGTTCTGCTTGTCCCCAAGGTAGTAACTGAGCTTTCAGTGTCCCTTCTGGCCTCTTCCAGGAAGGTCCCATGGAGGAAGAGCAGAGTCCTCTGCCTGCCAGGAGACTTCACTGTTGCTTTGTCACCTGCAAAATAGCTTTTCACCTCATTATAAGATGATGGCAGCAGCCTGAGGTGACCAATGAGGCTTGGGGTGGCCTTTGGGAGATGGAGATCTGAAGGATCTGCCTCAAGGGCTGCTTTAGCCATGGCACAGAGCCACCAAAGGAAGGTGAGGGGACTGTGCCAGCTTGGGCTGTGAGGTGGCAGCAGCTCAGCACTGGCAGCACTTTGTTGGCACGGTGAGGGCGGATGCTTCCCTGAGTGTCCAGCACCTGTCCCTGGGTTCATGGGGGCTCTTTTAACCCATGTGCCAAGAAGATCTGAAAGCTTTTGCTGTTACCAGCTTCCCAGAGCATCCTCACCCTGCTCCCACCTGTACCTCCGAGACCCTGGGGTGCTGCCCAGGGTTCCCCCATAGAGTTGGGGACCTTTGGTGTGATGGGTGCCTGCTTTCTCAGCAACACCCCTCCCAATGCTGTTGAAGGACCACTGTGGTGTGAGCAAGGTGGCTTCAACTGCCCTTCATCTTCCTTGGGGAACCCCCAGGATCTGACTGGGAGGATGCACTGAGCCGTGCTGGGGCTGGAGCTGCTGGATTTGGGAGCAGTGATGGTGTGTGAGGCATCTTCCTTCTCAGTGTGCCACTGTCCCCAGCTGTGGGATGGCAGTTTTACCCCTTTTCCCCCCCCTTGTCTGCCCCTGCCAGAGGGGGTCTTGCCAGCAAGGGTGATGGACAAGAACCCCATGAGCTGTGGATTGTTCCTCACAGGCTGTGGCAGGAGTTGGGTGATGGGACTCACTGTTCCTGGGGTCCCATTGCTCCATCCTCCCCTGTCCCCCCCCCCCCCCCCCCCCCCCCCCCATGACAGCTCTGCCCCTATTCTGTCAGGGGGCCAGCAGGTTACAGCCACGGTGGGTTTTTAATTAAATCAAACTGCAGTGGCACAGCCGTGCCCATCTGTTCCTCCAAGCTGTCGGGGCACAGAGATGAGCCCAGTATCTAGGTCATGTCAGAGGGGTTTTGCCACAGGAGCCATCGTGGGGCTTTGTCCCCCCTACCCTGCACCAACCAGATATGGGTTTGTGATCTCCAGGGGGTTGGAGACCCATCTTGGTGACCTTTGTGACCAAGTTCTGTGCCAGGGAGGGAGAAAAGAGGTTGTGAACAAAGCCAAGCTGGAGCTGTGATGGGTCTGTGTGGGTGTCACTCAGCGTGGGTGGTGTCACCCAGTGTGGGTGGTGTCACCTGGCCCATTCCATGGGACAAACACACTTTCCCCTGTTTAACTTCACCCCACATTAATACTTTAAGGAGGTTGGTGCTGTGGTAAATGATGGTAATTGTGTTTAATTAAGAGATTCTACCTGGGTTTTAGGCTGTGTCTTCAATTGCATCCGAGTTGGAGTGTTTGGTAGTTTGGACAACGGTGGCTTTGCAACAGCCTAATCCCCTAATTACTGTAGTCACAGCACAAAGGCCTCGTTAACCAAATTAAAACGAGCTGCCAGACAGATCTCTCCAGTCCAGAGCAGCAGAGGGAGAGCTGTACCCTCAATCCCTGACTGAGCTGCAGGACCCCAGCATGTGATGTGACAGAAATGTGTCCCCCTTGCCCACTGCCATCCCCAGAATTGGGGGTCCTGGTGGTCCTCACCAAAGCTCCTGCTGTACCCAGACCTTGAACAAGCTGTTGGGGTAGAACCTGGGTTGTGATCATCACAAGGAACAGGCTGTGGAGGGAGGTTGGTGTGTGGGGAAGGTTTGATCCACCACCTTTAAATGTTGGCAGAGAAGGAGGTGGGAGCTGGAGACCCTTCAGCTGACCAGGTGGGATTGCATTGATAACCAAACATTGACCATCAAACCCAGGGAGATGGAGAAGAGCAAAACTTCAACACTAAGCATGGATCATGTTAGGTGGGGATTTTCTTAGGGCTGGAGAGAGAATCTTTACCCTGGAAATATTTTTAATCTGAATATGATGCATTTCTGGTAATCACAACTGCTGGGAAAGATTCATCTGCTTTCCAGCCCAGGCTTTCCTGGAATTTAACCCAAGCCAAACAGTTACTGGGAAGCCCAACAGCTTTGTCCTCCAGACCTCTTCCAAAACCTCTTCACTCCTTCCTGTTCCATCCAATAGTTTTGGGGAATTTGTAGATGTGAGGAAAGAGAAAATATTTCCCTTCACCATTCTGGGAGTGAAAAGTGGAGGAAATTCAACTGAAGCTACTTCCACCCATCTCCTTCTGTTAACTGGAGCTTCTCCCAGGCAGTGAGAATATCACACAGGAATAAACAAGCCTGTGAAATCAGGACTGTGCTGCAGGCTGCGTGGGAGCACACGGGTGGGATCACCCAAAGCTCAGAGGTCCTGGGGCCACATCTCTGCCTAAACAAGAGGAACTTGGGCTGAGATGAAGAGGACACTTGGTGAAGCCTTAGGAGAGCCAGTGTCTCCCTCCTGCCTGTGCAGCTGGGCTCATTGGCACATCAGCTTTCCCAAAATAGCTGTCCTTGGGGCAGGCAGGGGGTTATCTGATCCTGGTGCTGCTCTTCTCTTGTCCTTGGGTTGCTTTGGCAGTGTGGAGACCTTCAAGGAGTCTAAAGGAATTGAAGGATCGTGTCTTAGCTGAGGAAACACAGTCTGGGAAGGGATGTGCACAACCCAGGGGTAGTGTGAGCAAGAGAAAAATCTCCTTAAAGAATGACCTGGAGAATGGGTCACCAACTGCACCCCACAGGTCATGCTCTGTGGATGCTTTTGTTGGAGGTAAGGGTGGAGATGGCTGGCAGAGCATCCCATTGCCTGGAATTCTTGGCATGGAGGCATGATGGGTGTGAACCTCAGCTTGCTGTGGTGGAACAGAGCTTGCTACCTCCCCAGGTACCTTCAGCTGGAGCTTGTGTCAGTGCCAGGCTCTCCTACCTCCTCCTGGAACACCTCTGGATCTGCTCATGCCTGCTGGGCACCAACTGCCTGTATCTTCCAGCAGCCCCAGGGTCTGTGCTCAGAGCCTGATGCTGATGTCTCTGTGCAGGTTGACATGGAGCTGCCACCTGGGGACATCCCAGGAGCTGCTGTTCCAGCAGGTGCTGCAGGTTGGGTGGCAGGACAAATCCTTGAAGCCTGCAGTTGTCATGGGACCTGGGATCACAGCAGGAGACCTGAGCTGACACGTGTCCATGAGCAGGTCCCTGTTGTCCCCAGGGTGTACAGGGCAGCTCTGCTCCAAGCACACACTGCTTGTGTGATAGAAACTCTTCCTCCCTGGAGAGGAACACGTAGCAACAAGCACATGTGTGCGCACACATCCGTGCCCAAGTGGCTGTACAGATGTTCCCAGATGTGCACACTCACACTGACAGTCTCCCTGATCTTCTGCCAACACCTCCTCCTCTTCCTCATGCCCCTGCATAGAATGGTTTGGATTGGAAGGGACCTTAAAGCTCATCCAGTCCCAACCCCCCTGCCATCAGCAGGGACACCTTCCACTAGACCAGGTTGCTCAAAGCCTCATCCAGCCTGGCCTTCAACACTTCCAGGGAGGAGCAGCCACAGCTTCTCTGGCCAACCTGTTCCAGTGTCTGACCACCCTCACAGTGAAGAACTTCTTCCTAATATCTCATCTAAACCTCCCCTCTTTCAGCTTAAACCCATTTCCCCTTGTTTTGTCATTAACTGCTCTTCCTCCTTCCCTTGGTTGTTCAGTGATGCTGGGGAGATGCCCAAGGTCCCTACTAACCTCTCCTGTTTGTGTCCAGAGAGCCAACCCACAACATCAGATGAGACTGTGGTGGCCGGTGGGACAGTGGTGCTCAAGTGCCAAGTGGAAGATCCTGATGACTCCTCACTGCAGTGGTCCAACCCTGCCCAGCAGACCCTCTACTTTGGGGAGAAACGAGGTATGTGCACAGGAATTTGGGATGGGAGAGGAGCCAGCTCCAGGACAAGAGTGATGATGGGGTAGAGGGACAGTGGACCAGGGCTGATAGTGCCCCAGAGACTGATTTTCCTTTCTGTTCCCCACTTACAGTGATGCCACCAGGCAAAATAATGAGCTAGTGGTGGGGTGTGGTGGTTCTGAGCCTGTCACTCACCCTGTTGTCCCTTTTTCCCCCCCAGCCCTGCGAGATAACAGGATCCAACTGGAGAGATCCACACCCAATGAGTTGACCATCAGCATCAGCGACGTGGTGCTGTCAGATGAGGGGGAATACACCTGCTCCATCTTCACCATGCCTGTGAGGACTGCAAAGGCCTTGGTCACCGTGCTGGGTAAGCCACCAGTGACAGTTCCTTCCTCCTGCTCCTCATCTCCTGCCCTACCTGCAAGATACTGTCTGTAGAGCCATTTATTTCTGCTGTTCCCTTATCCCCAACCACCCTTTCCATGTTTATTGGCATGTCTCTGCATGTGTGTCCATCTCTGGGTGGCAGCACATGGTCAACTAATAGGCTGGTTTATTTCTTGTCTATTCTTCTACCAGGAATTCCTCAGAAACCTCAAATCTTTGGCCATGAGCAACCTATTGATGAGGAGAAAATAGCCCGGCTGACCTGTCGGTCCTCTGGCAGCAAACCCGCGGCACAGCTCCGGTGGAAGAAGGGCAACAAGGAGCTGAAAGGTGAGTGCCCAAGCAGTGAGTCTCTGTCCTGAGGGACTGGAGTGGCTGGGGAACACCATGGAGGCAGGTGAGGCACCAAGGGGTTGTAGATGTGCCCAATGTTGGACCACATTGGCATCCTGTGCTACTGCCAGCAAAGGAATGGGGACAGAGTGTCCCCTGCTCAATACATGTGTCAGCCTCATGCTTCCCAGGTTGGATGAGGCCTTGAGCAACCTGGTCTAGTGGAAGGTGTCCCTGCTGCTGGCAGGGGGGTTGGGACTAGATGACCTTTAAGGTCCCTTCCAATCCAAACCATTCTATGAGTCTATGATTCTGCTTGGGGTACTGTGTCCTTCAGCTCTGATTGTCCCTTGTCCCTACAGATGAGGGTATCGAGGTGGTGGAGGACCCCAATGGAAAGACCTTCACTGTCAGCAGTCGAGTGGAGTTCCGTGTCACCAAGGAGGACAACGAAGCCGAGGTGACCTGCACCGTGGACCACGAGTCCCTGCAGAACGCTGAGAGGTCAACCACGCAGAAGCTGCAGGTCCACTGTACGTGGTACATGGAGATGATGGGAAAAGGGCTCTGGAGGGGTGGAAGAAGAGGCCTCAGCATCACCACAGTTCAGGAGACATCATATATGTGGCCCTACATCTACACATACATAGAGCTGTCACACATCCAGGCTCATCAACCTGCCTGCACAGTGGTCCTGTCACACCTGAGGGCACTGCACAGTGACACTTGCCCTGCCCATGCATGCCCTTGGTTTCCCCTGCCTGTCCCTATCTCCCTGGGACTTCTCTGTGCCATCCCCTGCTATCTGCATGTACCATCTCCCGTGTCCTGCCTGTCCCCATTCCCCTGACCTCCCATGTCCCCCATGATGGCAGGGTGAGGGGTGTGGGAGCTGCTCTGTGCACCCCCAGATTGCCAACCCCACTGCATTCACACAGCACAGGCAGAGCTGGAGCCAAGGCAGGGTGCTGGGGCAGGGTTTTGGGGTGCCAACAGGTCCCTACCAGAGTGTGGGACAGGGGACAGGAGTTCACCCAACTGTGCTTCTCCTCCTTTTTCAGACAAACCAACAGCAAAGATCGAGCCACATCCCCAGTACCCGCGGGAAGGCGAGAAGCTCCAACTGCAGTGCGACGGGCAGGGCAACCCCATGTAAGGATCCCTCTCAGCTTCCTCCTGCTCAGCCCCACCAGGCCATGGTCAACTCATTCTCCTGCTGCCAGGTTCCTAAAACCACCACCTAGCCCTCCCCAGAGCTCGGGCAGGGTGTTGTAGGTAGCACTGTGTGGGTCAGGGCTGGGTACTGGCTTTGTATTGATGCCAGGTAGGGCCAGGAACCCCATGGAGAACAGGCAAAGCCCTCATCCTCTCCTTGGAGCAGCAAATCCACCCTGGTCCATCTCTAAATGGGATATTTCCCTGCTGCTTAAATATTCCCACACCTTTACTTCTCCCTTTAATGCCTGGCCAGGGACTTTGTGCTGCCCCAGCTCAGCCAGGTTGAACTGGGGAAGGTAACGATCCCTCACCACCATCCCCACTCCACAGCCCCCAGGAATTCCTGTGGGAGAAGGAAGGCAGCGATGCTCCCCTGCAGCTGAGCTCTGACAGCATCCTCATCTTCCCCTTCCTCAACAAGAGTGACAGTGGCACCTACGTCTGCACAGCCACCAGCTCCATGGGCAGCGTCGTGGCCAAGTACAACCTCGATGTCAGTGGTAAGTGGGGACACAGGGGGTACCCAGCTTCTCCCAGCAGCTCCTGGTTGGCACAGCCATCGCCATCCTGGCTGTGTCTCACTCTGAAGGGGTGCACAGATCCAGGGGGGGGTCTGTGGTGGGTTGGGGGTGGCTTTCTGGCATGGGGGGGGTGCGTGATGCAGCTGGG